TCCACGCACCCCGCACCATCTATACTACATCTTTCCTCTCTCATCTGTTCTCTTTTCTGCGTTTCTCTCCTCTTCCCTGCCGTGTTTTCCCTTCTTCTTCTTCTTCTGTTTCTTCTTCTTCTTCTGTTCGCTCCTTTCTGTTTCACCGCGACGGCGTCTCTCGTCGGTCGTTCTCTCTCACATTGCTGCCACCCATCTCACGCCGCGAGCGTGGGGTGAGAAAGTCTAGGGCCGTAGCACCCGACCGACCGCGAGCGAGGCGCACACAGGGCCGCAATTCCCGCGGCGAAGAAGGGAGTGGGGTGAAGTGTCGACTCGAGGGTCGCATTACGAGGGCGGACTCGGGGATCAGGCGCCTTCCACTGTCGCCGCTAGCGATGGCCATTCGCTTCTCTCTTTCTCTCTCTGTCTTGCTTTCGCTCGCTCTCTTTCTATCGCGGTTTCGTGCAAATCGCACCTATGCGCTGCAGTAATACATTGGACGCAGTGATTAACTGCTGTACTGTTTGTATATTGAATCGACATTGATTATGTTTCTTTTTAATTTTGAATATTGTTACCTAGGTTCCAATCAAGCGAAGAGGGAGGAGCTTATATGGAGTCCTAGGATCTGATTTTCTGGTGAAGCATTAAAATTGGTAAGGTACGGTTTTATTTTTAATTTTAAATGCTTTTATAAGGAGTTCCTGCGCAAGTCAAAGCCATCGCTAAATCTAGAATCCGTGGTTCTTGGAATGAATAAAATTCTCTGTCCACAGTTTTCGTCGTCAGATTTATTTGTTTGCTCGAGGTTAGTGGCCTGGAAGAGAATTCATTAGTCTCTTCCTTCCGATGCGTCTTCACGGTAAAAGTACTAACATTCCTTACCAGCTGCTTTAACAATTGTTAGTTCCGTACACACGCGCCACGCGACGCCTGTTATTATTACGCCGTCCAGATTCATCGTGAACTCATGAAATTCGATATGTTTCTATACCAAGCCTAAAAAATTGTATAAACAATTTTTTCATCTCATAACTTGTTCGTAATCTTTACAGTGCATTGTTTATCCTGAGGAATTAAAACGCGTATCAATGAATAAACTGAATCAATACTCTTTGTAAGACAGTTGTTGTCTTCTTCCTGAAACAGTATCGATTGAAATATAACTTTAATTGCAATGCGAAATCTTACTCTTAAATTCTATGGAATTTTAAGTAGTTCTACACTAGCGCCCACCGTAAAGCGCCCGGATCAGCTACAGCCCTGTGGTCACGTGACGAAAACACGACGTGACGTCACACGCGCAGCAGCAGCCAGCTGCCAGTCCAACATGGTTGACCTGTGAGCAGCGGTGCTACGAACGGCTGTCCGCATTAATCGCTAGTTTCTTCCGATCGCGCGTGCCCCGTTAACCATCGTAAACCGTTAATATGATATCTTCGATCGTCTCGCGACTCGTCATGTGAGTATTCAAGTTCAATCTGATCGAGGGACCGGTGATACAGTGCGGGGAGGAAGTAGTCAGCTGCCTCTGGATTCACGCCATCGTTGACCCAGGGGTTCTTCGAGTCTGTTTTGTCAGTAAACGGTTAGTTTTTTACCCGAAACTTCTCTCTCCTATGTTCAATTCGATCTGCGCACGTTTTCCGACGGTCATTTTTGGGGAAGGACCGTTCTGCTCGTCTCGTGGTCGTTCGTCCATTTCTCGTTTCACCCTTAACGGCAACGAAGAGGACGCGAAGAGGGTGGCAGAGAGATGACGCTGCTGCACGATGCGCGAATCGGTTACGGGGGTGCAGTGCTCGCAGTGAGATGTTTAACAATCGTACACGGGGACTGATGCTTCGTTGCCGAAGGAATTATGTCATCGCGTCGCCGCAACGCGACTCTCGGTGGAAAGATTTCCATGTTTGGTTACAAGAAGTTTCACGGCAATCCGTGACCGTTGCACTGCGGTTACATTTGAAAATAGTAACGGTCGTCGAGGTGAAACGCGGTATCGATTCGAGGCGGTTGCGTTCAGTTCTTCTGTGACGAAACGCCGCTCGAAAATCCGAGGTTACACGAAGGTAAGAGGACTTGAATATCTTTCGTACATATCCATATTAGGAGAGCTATCGATAAACAAGGAGGTTCGAGTCTTCGTCGAGGACACGCCAACGTATACTGCGATCGAAATATTTTTCTTTAATTTTTACACAAAATAAAAAGAGAGGAAAAGACGATTCCGCCCCGATTGATCGAAACGTAAAGCTAACACGACAATAATGGAAATTCGTGACGGTGAAAGTGCCGTATCATCGGTGCACTATCTGCATCGTTTATACTCGTAGACTTTATACCCCGTGAACCTAACCTAACTTCGGACTTTCGGATCCAACATCAGCCACCTACCCCACCATTACGGACGAACCCTTGCGACACCTTGCGCATAATCCGTGACTTTTACTGTTGGCCAAGTCTTTCTATTACCAAATACAACTATATATGAACCAGTGCGCGCAATATCCTCTCGTAACCAAGGAGAAGCATTCACACCATTTATTTCCCGGAGAGCGCACTTTCCGTGGCGTCTAGTATTTTACAGAGTAGTACGCGCTAAGCACGTTGCTCGGGCGCCCGCTAGTCGATACCATAATAGAACTAGTTCGAGCGCATTTGGACATGTTCCATGCTCTGGATTGATATAGGTATGCGCTCTCGCTCTTTATCCCCCGTACCTATTTTCCACGTCGCGCGTAGCGAGCGCGTTTAAAAATAGCTGGATGCTATCCGAAGGAGGACAAAACATAGCTCCCTTTTCAGTACGAGGGTACAGGACCGCAGGTGCTGGTACGTCTTTCGTGATCCTGCAAACTATCCGTTTCTTTTGTGTTCGTCCAGAGCGTCAGCTGATCGACCTTGTCTCGGTGACTCACAAAGAGATACGGTTTATTGACGCGCATATCTTATCGGTCTAAGAACTATGAGCAGCCGAGAGTTTCTACATTGCTCCAGGGCCGTGGTTTTCATTTTTAGGCTTGGCAAACCAAAAACGTTGCTACGTTCGCTTGGGTAGCTGCCTTTCGTATGATCCTACGCCGCGTTGAAGTTTTCGTATTGCTGGCCAGCGCGTACACGCGGGAAACGAGGCAGCAACGCGTAACAGATACCCACCGGTCGGGAACGAACATCTCGGACGTCAGCTGATTCGGCCGACGTCACACAACGATGGGGACACACACGTTCCTCCCTGGCGTCGCGCGGACTCCCGTTGAGGGAGTACGTTTTGTTGACGGCGTTCCTTGACGCTGGCAAGCGCGCACCGCTCTCGTACACACGTGTGCACGTTAGCGGTCTTTGCTAAGGAGTGACTCATGCCCGCTGCACTTGACAATAAACTGGAACAAGGCGATGAAGCATTGATTCCGAGGTCGAGCGTACGATGCTTCTTGGTCCAACGATTCGTTCTTGGAATTCATCGATTTTTATGGTTCCCGTGCCGATAAGATTGGCTGGGTTCAGTTTCTACGGACTAAACCATTCTGGGCACTAGTTCGAGCTGAGGGCTAAATGAATCTCACGCCAGAGGGATCCTATATGCTCCACGTAGGCGAGCAACAGAAATAGCATTACTGGTGATACACATGAACGGCCCGGCATTTACATCACCGTACATAGGATCTACGTAATCCTTGGCTGCTTTTTCAGTCTTATTGTACAGGACACGCACAATTTGCTCGCAGGTAACAGTCCTTTTTTTCGCCGGAACGTACCGTCGTCGGCGACTTCGCGGCGCAATTACGCGGACTCGCTAACTGGCCGAAGCTTTTCCGGCAGAGAGAAAGGATAGGTGGCTAGAACAAATTGCAGGATAGATTCGGTAAAAAGCGTGCTGACATCGAGTGATTGCGAAATACGACCTTGTAGTTTCGCGAGCGATTGCAGTTGCTACCTGGACACGCTTTCTTTCGCTTCCTGCACATTTTTCGCTGCAATAAAACTACGATGCAAGGATCTAGCATCTTTCCCACTCAGGATTTTTTTCGTTAATGATACACGTACGGCCCGTCTGAATATCTTTACGATTCTCCCCTTTCCATAGAACTAATAATGAAACGGAAGAGAGAAGGCAGGTTTCTGCGCCGCACGTACATTGATTCATTAGCGCATCTAGCGTCGTTCTTGGCGTATGTTTTGCCTTTCAATAATCGTCACGGAACGTTATCTCCCTCTCCGTTTCTCTTATATTCCTAAAGTTGTGTGATTCACGGTTGCTCAGTTGCCTTTGTGCGCCGAGGGCACATTGTCTCGGCCGGCACTCAAGGCACAAGGCAAGTCCATTTTCCTTTCACTTGGTTGCGGCGCCGTATCCTGTGTACACGTGTGAACGTTTAAAAATGTCTCTGGGAGCTTTGAGCTGCGACGAACGGTTATCGAGTATCGGATCCAATCGAATTCTCGTCCGATCGATTTCCTTCATCCCCGGGCTGAGATGATCGAAGAAAGATCGAAAATAGATCTTCGAGCGTAGACTTGGAAGGAAACAGGCACTCTGAGGGATGCTTTCTTGGTAAACCGGAGGAACGTGGTTGGTCGTTGGATCGATGCCCGGTTGGCAACAGGAGGGTGGTTCTGGTGGTGGTGGCGGTGGCAGTGGTGTGCACGAGGAAAGGACGGCCGTGCGGCACCCTCGTTCCCTCTTCCTCCACCCTTTCTCGTTTCTTTTCTGCTCTTCGCTTCTCTTCGCTTCTGGTATCCTCGTTACAGCTGTAAGGGTGGCACGATTCTCCGACGGCCTGCTGCCGTGAATCGATATTTCGTTTCAGAAAAGATCCCACGTTAACCTCCTCTGTAACGGCGCACGCTACAGGCGTCTCTGACGCTCCTCCTTCGGTATCTACTCGGTGGATGGCTGTTGCTTGTTTGTTTCACTCGTCGCTACCACGAGCGACAATATCATGACATTCTTGATATTAAACGAACTCCGATAGGTCGTTGCTCGTGACGAGAAGCCCGTTCCAGTGTTAATTCTGTTGCGGTTTTATTTATCGGCCGTTGTGTCGGTTTATAGTTTCCGGCGTTGCGTCTACTTTCACTGGGACTACAGAATATTAGCCACGCCGGGGCCCAAAAGCAGAAGGAGTATGATGGAACGAACACGCCGAGCAACGATTAATTTTGCAAATGCCATGCCAACCGGGTTGAGATAAAACTTATCTACTCCGTTTCCCTCTGTCTCCCACACCCTTGATTCGTGAGGTTTTGCGCGCACGCACGCACGCACGAGGGGGGGGGGCTCGGTCTATTTACCTAGCTACCAACTGTATTTCGTTCCGTGACCCATATTCCCTGATGTTGCTGAAAGGTATCTCATTTTCTATGGATGCAGCGGTTTCTTTCCGTGTTGCGGCCGCGGTAAACCGGATTTTCAATTGAAACTCCTGTCAGTTTCGTTCAGCTGTTGTGCTGTTACAGCCTCATTGGAATACAATTCTCCCCGCTTGTGTAACACTTATTTTTACGCCAGCTGACACTAATGCTGTCCTTATTCTCACGTTTATCGTTGTTGTCGCCGCCGTGCGCTTCCCTTTGTATTGGTTCGATCGCATAACTTATAACGGTGTTTTTGAAAAATACGTTTCTCGTTTCATTTCTACGACCATTTAAGGGGGGAAATACCTTTAGACGGATGAAAACGAGCTTATTTTTATGAATTTTTTCGTAAAGGAAAGGATTGTTTTAAATTTTTGGAACTTTGGTTATCATTTATTATGTTCTTTCTCTATTACAACGTATTTTTTGTTTTTTAAAATATTTAAAAATGGCGGAGTTATGTCCCTGTTTTTCGGGAAGGTTGTGGTGCCACTTATTAAATGATGTAAGCTCTAGCATTGGTTTCCTTGATTTGAAACAAACCAGCAAGACATATTTCGATAACTAACATTTACAGTTTGTAGATGAACCTAAAGAAAGTGAAAAATATTGAAAATTGAAAAAGTGGCACGCTTTTAAACAGAAACTTTGAATTTTTCATGAAATTTTCGCTATATTTTGCAATAAAAAGGTACTTTTATTTACAATTTATTTCATATCTCTAGGTTCATATAGAAAACAATATTGTTATAGATATGTGTGCAAAATTTCAGCAAGATTGATTAAGTAGTTTTTGAGTTATTGATTCCACCGATTTCGAAAATGTAGTTTTGATATAAACACGTTCAAAGTTTCGATAAGTGATAACTCAATAATTTCAATGACTTATCAACTAGTCTACGATTTCTGCGCCATACAATATTCCTTCTGTTTCCTCATAGAGCTGATTTTCCTCCATACGTTGTTCTCTTCTTGCTTTTCGAGCCTCTTTGGTAGTTAATGAGGTGCGTCGCTCCTGTCGAATTATTCTCTGTTCGTCGATTTTGTCGGCGTATGTTTTTGCTTGTTTTCCAATTACAATATTCAAAGCACTCAGTTCTTAAAACT